AAGGGTGGGTGTCAGGAGGATGGAGCCAGACTCTTTTCAGTGGTGCCCAGAGACAGGACAAGAGGCAACGGGCACAAACTGAAGCAGAGGAAGTTCCATCTGAACATGAGGAAGAACTTCTTCCCTCTGAGGGTGACGGAGCACTGGAACAGGCTGCCCAAGGAGGTTGTGGATTCTCCTTCTCTGGAGATATTAAAGACCCGTCTGGATACGGTCGTGTGCAGCCTACTGTAGGTGACCCTGCTTCAGCAGGGGGGTTGGACTAGATGACCCACAGAGGTCCCTTCCAACCCCTACTATTCTGTGATTCTGTGATTCTGTGTTTCTGAATGTATCATCTTTCCTGTACAGAAAGCAGAAGATGGCCAGCTAACTAAAATGCTTTGAAATGTAAATGTTTTGGTTTTTAATTAGGAAATCTAATTTTGCTTTTCTTCTGCAGCATCAAAATCTGGAAACAATGACATTTGCTAATTTTTTTTTACTGAATACATTTTCACAGAAAGTTGCACACTGATTCTTTCTTTTCTTTTAAAAAATCTGCAGGCTATGGTTTAATCATTGTTATTTTTTTAAAATATATTAATTGTATTTTGAAGAAGGATGTACATAGGTGCGTACTATTTGGTAGTGTTCTCTTATGAAAGCTGTTGTAAAATACAACAACAACAGTGCTAGAGCTAAAACATGTTTTGTAGGGGAGGGGGAAAAGAACTCTTCCTCCTGGAGTTATGGCACGGAGAGAGAGGGAGAAAAGCTGCCAGCCTTGTTTGAAGAGGGGGAAACTTCTAAATTCCTTTTTGTAATGTGAAGATCAAAGATGCCTGCCTGATTCCCCCCCCATAGAGTGATAGACAAATACCCAGTTTAAAGAAGGACTGAGACGTACAAACTTGCATGGTGGCCACTGTTTCTCTCCAGCACTTTCTATGGTGTGTGATCAAGGATTTTCTGAAGGACTTTGAACAACTTCCCTTAAGCAAAAAAAGGGAGATCTATCCCACTGTCTGTGCATTATCTACATCCCCACTCCTCTTCAGCTTACACCTCCTGTCTTCTGACATTGGTCCACCTGAGGGGAGGTGATGAGAGAAATCTGCAGTGTTTTGCATGGTATTATTTCCCTCTGTGCATTTTTGTACTGGGGAACAAACACGTGGCTTAACATCAAGATTCCCTTTATTAATTTTACACATTGCATGTTTTATAAAAAATGGTGGCAGTCAAGGGTACTATGTGCCTAAAGGGAACGTACAGTTCCTTTGGATCCTGCACATCACTGTGCAGTTCAGTCTTCACCTTCAAATGTTTGCAGAGGCACTTGCTTATGTTAGAGCATGAAAAACTAGCAAAGCTCTATGGGATGCTGCAGTTTTACTATGTAGAGTCACATGTAGTATATTCACATCCTGAAACACATCTTTGTGTTAGTAAGAATCGTCCCATTGAAGGAAAGAGGAGAATAACCTTGCAAATGAAGAGGACACTGTAGTGATTCTGAAAAAAGAAATTTTGAATGTGAGTTCTCAGCTGCTGAATGCAATTTTGTTGTGACATTTCACTACTTGATTCTGTGCCATCGAGTTCATGGGGAGCAATTAATCTTTAAAAAAGGCAACATTAAAATTGTATTAACACTGAAATAGAATATTGTAGTCTGTCATAAACTGTCATTTTAATTTCTAGGAATTTTGCTTTAAATTATGAATAAGGTAGCAATAAAAGTACAGCTAACTCAATTATTCACGTTGATACTTATTTTTAAAAACCCCATCTAAAACTAAAATATTTGAGAACCATCGCACCTAATTATTTTGTTCAGCATACTTACATATCCAGTCTTTCAGTGGTTAACAGAGAATTGCTGTGGGAGTGAGTGAGAGCACTGCAGTGAAAACCAGTTTTATTTACATCTTCCTGCAATAGTCTCCAAGCATAAGGCTTCCTAAAGCACAAGAGGCAAAAATGTTCATAATGGCGATTGATGTCTGTCTGTGTGGTTTCTGGGTTTTTATCTGCTTGTTTTTCCTTTAACTCGTAGAACCACATCACGGCCTTTGCAGAAGTCACATGATGTTGATGCTGATGTATATTCACTCCATTGGACTTCATCTCTTTTCACAGCCCACACACGATAATTGCAGTGTATCAAAAATAAGAAATTTTTAGAAGTCCTATATCTGACTTGATTTTTACATCATTAAAACAATACCAACATTTTGAAGAATTCTTAAATGTTAGAATGTCACTTTACTTTTTAGCAAAAATAACTGTTTACTTTTTGATGGAGTGGGACAAACTGGGCACTTATTATATATATCTGACAATACCCTCTATTTCGGCTTCTCATTGTTTTTAATGGTTCATGTACCTATTCCATCAGTACTTCATATTTTGACTTGACTTTGATTTTTAAAATCTACATTTTTAATTCAGCATGAACTTGTTTCCATTTGAGGCGATTTCAGTGCAGAAAAACTACAAAAATATTACGTTTGGTATGAAAATGCTGTTTGCACATTGTATTATGCTGTATTCCATGTAAGATATCATTCAGACAGTATGTTATATGTAAGACTGGTGCTTCTGCTTTTGAAGAGAAAAAAATGCCAATTTTTACTGTAATAAGTATTGTATCATAATTAAAAGTTTATTTATTTGGATATTTTCCTGACATAATTGTAGTTGAATTGTTGTTTTGTAGTTCCTGAATGTCTTAGATGATATATATGTATCTAGGTTAAAAGAAATTAATATAATGTAGACAGTTTGATCATTGATATATTCTTTATTACTAACAATGTCCCATGAAAGGTTAAGGGCTCCATTCTTAGCTCAGCATATCTGAGGGAACCTGTGCTATTCATAAATTGTTTAAACAAATTATTCAAGGAAGCTTGCATCTTCTCATATTTGTTGTACACCCTGATATTGTGCTGGGAGAATGGGTGCTAAGATAAGAAGAGGGTCGCTGGCTTGGTGAGAAAAGTGCGTTTAAGTTTCTACTCTCCATTTGCGTGTTGGAGCACTCATGAGAAAAAAAAAAAATGGCTTCATTAATTTTCTTCAGCCTAAGTGACAAGGACAGGCAGACTTTCTACAAATCTTTCTATCTCTGTTTGTGTTTCAGGGCCATATTCTGGCAAAAAAAATCCTCTGTCAGTCTGTGCGGTGTTGACGAATTGATTTTTCTTCAACATCAGGCAATGTTATCATATCTCCGTTATCGCTGTGAATAATCAAATTGAGCCTCCCCTTCAAAAGACAGCCTTGCTTGACTATTCATGGTGAAGTTGTCCTACAAAAATTGAGCACCAAATGGGTCTGAATATTGTAGATGCTGAAGATACTCTTAACATCTGCCAGAAAGTTTTCCTCTGGCAACAGTTGATACAACGCTAGCACTATAGACACATTAAGTATAGTAATGTTCAGTGCAGGCTGTTGAACATTCTAGGCCTTAAATTTTCCATAATTCAGTGTATTTCCTGTGCATTAATCATTGTTAGAACACTTCTGAAACATAAGGCTGTAGAATGAGGTATATATTTTCTGTGATGAATGCTTTCTCACATAGTAATCCAGTGACACCTGCTTTTTACATTATATTTTAACCTCTGCTTTCACTAAAATACAACTACCTAAACAGCACTTGGCAAACAGGGCAAGGCCAAGTCATCTTTGAGTGCAATAGAGCGTATCTCACAAAGTCATTGTGCTAAGCTGAGAATTAGAGAATAAAGAAATGCATCAGTGACAAGAAAAGTCCTAGAATAGAGCCCTTAGCTACAACAATGTGACTTAGGTGATTGAAAATCCACCTTTATTAGACTATCAGCTGTGTTTACAAAGTTGTAGTAGATCCAAAGTTTGTTTCACCATGTTAGGCACACTTACCCTTCTCTTAGTCTAGCTATTTAGGGTCCAAGGTACTAATGTTTTATCTGTGTGCAGATTTAAATGAAATCTTCACTCATTTTTGCATGGTAGCAAACCTGCATTTTTTTATATCTGATTTATAAGATTACCAAGAGATTCTTTTATGTTAAAAGAGATGACTCTTTTTCAGTGTACTGTATATCATCAGCTTGTAACTGGTCTCTTTCTCTCTCAGGATCTTTCCCAGTCAAATATTTGGGTGAAATTTATCATATTATCTCTGTGAACCAGCAGTGAGAAAACAAAAAGAGAGACACTCTGCTGTATAATGTATTTTTAAATAAAATAATTTTTCATTCATATGTAGTGTATTTTTTTTTTAGATATCTGCTCTAGGTATATTTTGGTTGATAGTCTACATATAATGAAATGTTGATTTTAAGTTGACTGCATTTGGTGATATATTTTCACAATTAACAAGGAATCCCCACAGTTAACTACCTTCCCTTAGAGGTGGTTCTGGTGAAACTGAAAAGCAGGAGAGGAAGAGCTGTGTTGCGGAAGAGTCCACAGCCTGTTGGTGAAGGACTTTCCCCAGGATGTGGACCAGCCAAGCTCCAGACCCTACTTTGATTGATTTTCAGAAAAGGCAAGAATTTACATTTCCCACTCTCTCCACTACCCTGGAGTTGGTGGTGTTTTTTTTTTTAAATCCCAGTGTGGAGCCTATGACAAACAAGCATCATCTCTTATTCAGGGAATATTCTGGTCCAGAGTGGTTCCTGATAAAAACACTGTGGTTGAACCATTTTGGGGGTTTTGAATGCAGGTGGTTTTATGATCCTTGTGGACCTTTTCTGCCTGTACTTCAGTTAAACAGCTCCACTCTATTTATAAATGAGACATTTAAGAAGCATCTCTAATGCTATATGCTGCTGTGTTCCTAAAAATGGAATTCATAAGGCATATGGGGACACCAGCTGGGCTGGTATCCATACCATTTTAGATTCCCTTATATGTATTCTGCTGTTTGTTCGTAATTGTGAACTGCGTAAGACATACGGTGATATCATCTGGGCTCACATCTCTTCAGCTTTTAAAAATGTTTGTTTCAACAATATGTATTAAAAGAGGATAATGTTAGTATTTTTCAGCTGCAATTTTCTTCACTGTTTGCTGTTGCCTTCTAATTTTGTTGCTGTCCAAGATCACAGTGAGTGTGACAGCCCATCTGCACATTACGTTAGCAGTGAGCTTTTTATACTTTTCTGAAGTCTAATTTCGGTATTTCTGAGGCTTGCCATGCAGAAAGCAGAGTGCACTACATTGTAGGAACAGATAACCTGAGTCTGTTTTCACCAAATACATCCCTGGCCACCTGCATAACCTTGGCCTTAGGGACACTCAGGAGCATTTACAGGCAGAAGGGCTCCTCCAGACCTCTCAGCCCTGCAGCACCTCCTTCCAGGCACACCAAGAGTGGTTTCACCAGGATCTGTCTTTGACAGCTGACTCTACCCCAACACACCAGCCTTTCCTGCTGTACACCAGCGCTTTTGGTCTCCTCTCAAGCACCTTTAAGAAACTGGACAGATCAGGCAAGATACCATACTCTCACCCCGAATTGTTCTACAAGCATGACTGCAGCTGGAGCCAGTGGTTGCCTGGTTCTCACTTGGACAAGTGGAAAGCCAAATGAATGGAGACCTATCATGGCTTCAGCTTTTGGACTTCTCCACTTTCTAGGCCCTTTGGTTTTCAAGGACTTCCAGAAAGGAAAGGAAAGCTTCATAGTCTGTCTGCTGACTCAAACCTCTTCTGCATGCCTAGTGTTGTGCAAGCTTTACTCTTGGTATTGGCCATCAGGGACTTTCCATTAAAACAGTGTTGCCTTTTTGTCATCCTCTCCTGTGTGAGGATTGCTGAAAAAGCTCCTTAGGGTTTCCAGGCTTGACCTGATGTTCTGGGAAGAGGAAACAGTGAACATCCCCAAAAGACTCCTGTCAGGGTGGGAATTGGAAGCCCTAGTGTGACTGTGTGATAAGCCTGGTTGTTTCCTCAGCACTCACTGAGTTGCCGTGCCAAGGTATGACTCTAATAATTTGCTTTTGTTACTAAACTGCCTGTATTTGCTACATCAGGAAGCCTCAGTCCATTTCCAACACAGAGGGTTAAGTACTTGGTTTCCTGCTCAGTACTGGAGCTAGTTCTCTCTCTGTAGAGAATCCTAGGAGGTGCAGCATATCCTGCATGAACCTGTCCCCAGTGTCTGATCAACACTATCCCAGACAAGTTGGTGGCAAGATAGCTGTCATTAAGGCTAGCTTCAAAGACGCTTAGCTCCCACTTGCCTGAAAAGATATCGAGATCCAAGCATGTCTGATGATCACTTAAGCTGGAAGCAATATAACCGGCTAGTGCCAGGCTCCAACTACTCTTTTTCTGAAGATGATGGTGACATCCAGTTCTCTGCCTGTCATGTCCTTGAACTCAATTTCTTCTGTTCCAGTTGTCATCTCTTGATACCACATTCTGCTGTGAGATAGGATACTCATGAGGTGTAAGGGGAGAGTGGCTGTGTTCATTGACAGACCATTTTAGATAGCCTTACATGTCTTCTGCTCTTGGTCTGTTATCACTAGCTGTGTAAAACATTTGGAAGTTAATCTAATTGAATTAGGACAATTCAATTATGAATAAAAGTATACACCCAGAGGTTTTATATGATTCTAACTAATCCACAGCAAATCTCCAGCTAATTCAGATGAACTGGTCTGATTTGTCCCATGTGTGGACAAGTCTTAAGCCCTTTTTTTCACAGAGGAGCTCTACTGTTGTAACATCTTCCCCTAGAGATTACAGCCAGAACAGCATGCAGCAGCCAGCTTCCTGAATTGGTCACATCAGCGGAATAATTATCTCTAAATTATTCACCTGCTCGTGGCTTTATTAGTGGACTGGGTGCAGAGGACTGCTCTTGTGCTCTGAAAGGGATTAAGAATGGGCACAATGGTAATCTCCAACTGCGAAATTACTGAAGCTGTTCTCTAAGATGGGGGCTTCAGTAGAGGCCCCAGTAAAGAGTTTTAGTCCCCAAAATGAAATTCTTTGCACCAGTGTGCTGATCTGACAATGTTCAGATCTAAATAAATAAATAAAAGTAAGAAACCAAGCCCTTTTCATGACAACTCTCTCCCTAAATAACAATGTTATGCCTAAATACATACTCTCTGCAGCTACAAGGAGCTTGTAGCCTTGCTGGCAATCTTTAATGTGGTTCTGAATGTGAGATCCTTCAGTTGTAAATTCCTAGGATTGCTCTGAAGTAGGCAAATAACACTAAAAAAGAGAGTAAATGTGTCTACAACTATAAAAGAAAAACTAAAGAGCTACAAAATGAGAAGGGGATGAATTCCAGAAGCGGGGAAAATGCCTTCTTATCCTTGTTAGCAAATGTGTCAATTTGAGGTAGACATGCTATATTTTTCTAACTTAAAATATCAATACTTTAGTGGATGGCATTTCTACTTTTTTTAAATACTGCAGTAGAAGAGAATGCTGCTCGTAGTCTGCTGTTTCTGCTAAGAAATCATCTGCTGCTTCATCCTCTTTTGCTACTGTTGCTTAAGGAAGCAGCTACTGTTCCTTCTTTAGCAACCTCTATTTATACAGTAGCAACTGACAACTTAAAGATGTTCTATTCAAATATTCTAAAAATAAGTCTGATGTGATGAGAATGAAGTGCTTATTTAGGAAAACAAAAGAAAAGCCCTTTTGGCTCTCGTCGAAGAAAGGGGACTAGAAGCTAATCGTAGTAGGAAACACCAGAAGTAAAACAAGACCCTTGCCTTTCAGCAATACTTGGCATTGTTGTCAAGACAAGGTGACAGATCTTTTTTGAGATTAATGCCCCTCTTTTTTTCTGAGCAATAAAAGAATACATTATGTGGATGTAGTCTTGGAGCATATAGTCTTCCAGAGAGAAACAGAGAATTTCC